TTCGGACAGCAATTATCGGCAGTCATTCTTCCTTCTCAATTCATCATTTTACAGATAGAGAGATAAGACACAGATAAATATATACACACACAAATACACACATACACAGGCATACACAGACATACATAAACGTATACTGACCTACACAGACATACATAAACATACACAGGCATACACAGACATACATGACACATACACACATAAGATATGAATATCCTCACTCGAAGCAATAGCACCGAATGACACGACCCAAAAAAATATGTAAAATGAATATTGCAGCAAATTACAACAATTGCATACTTTATCACTGCTTGCTATCATTACTTTTAACTGCTAAGATAAGGAAAAACTTTTAGAGTCATTTGTATCATAAACATTATCACCAATTACCATTATTGCCAAACCATCATTATCATTATCATTATCATTCCAGAAAGTTAATAATAGCTGTAGACAACTCTTCCATCTTGAAATTCTGTGATAATATTTTGTTATTAACAGTTTGTTTCCTTACAACAACTCTGCTAAGCTTCAATACTTCACATTCTATCGTACTGTGCAGTGAGAGAATTTTTGGTAAATTTGCAAGCAGTAAATTTTTTGCATACAAGTTTAAAAATTAGTTTGTATTTGAGATTTGATTTTTAGTAAAATTGTAAATCAGATATGACGATACAATCACCACTACATTTAATTTAGTGATATCAGTACTAAAACCGGATATCAATAAGTTGAACTGACCGGTTTACAAATATTTACTTGTAACTTTCAGGATTCATTTTATTTTATCTCACTGTGCCTTCTCTTTCATTTTAGTTGCGGTTAGCTTTTTTCAGAGAGAAAGAGAAATTAATTTTTCAATTCTTATTGTGTTCAGATTTCGAGTTATCAGTGCTAAGAATAACAATTAATGATATTAATAGAATGAAAATTTCTTTCAGACTAAAAAAATTGAAAAAATTTTACTGTTTTCTGATTTCAAATTATTGAAATACTGGAAGAAAATATATTTATGCGCTTTGCGCCGACGAGATATCTAAGCTTGAAAGCTTATTTTTAAAACAAAAACACTAATTTGCAAAGAATCCCATAGAAGAAACGATTGTTGCACGAATTTTCATAATTAATAATTTCCTCTTATTCGGGAAAAAAATCTGAAATAAACATTTTTTAAATTTATCAGCATCAAAATTATTTCACTGGTATGAAAGCAATTCTAGTGTTCTTTATTAAAGCTTTATTTGCAATGAAATTAAAATGTGGATTCAGAGTTGAAGAATGGAAATGAATTGTTGAATTATACTAATTTCCAATCACATATCTTCCAATTAAAATAACATCAAAACGATCTAATTCATCAATTTTAACAACCAAATAAAACAAAATAAGTAAAAACGTCAAAAATCATTGAAATAGAAGAAAAAAAGACTACCGTAGTCTGGATGAGAAATTAATTAATGAAAGGTGACAAAAAACGAAATTATGAAATTGAATTTAATTCGGAACTCTGGGAATCAAATGCTTTTTTAAAATTCTACTTATTAATTTGTAGATAACCTAGCTGTCTAACTATATTTTTAAAGAACTAAAGATTGAACGCAATACCAATTGTTTTCGAAAAATTTTTAAGTGCTCAAAATTTTTGCATTAAAATTTTTAAAATAAAAGTGCTTATAACTCAATATGTTTTTTTTAGTAAAAAATGGCTGAAACATTAGTAAACTTATTCATTTTTACCTGTATCACTTTATTACTTGTATTGCATTTCTTCTGAGCAGAAATCTTTTTTTTTTTCAATACAATAACTTTGAACAATTTAAGAAAGAAAAAAACTATTACAACATTATGTTAGACAATAAATCACTTCTTTGTAAGCAAAAAAGAAAAAAAGAAAAAGCTTTGTAATTAAAATAAATTTCAATTAGAGCGGGGAAATGATGAAATATGATGCAATTGAACAGTTTAAACGAATGAAGGTCATTTCGAGCATCTTACTCATCATCTCAATTTATGTATTTGTATATACGTATATACAATTTGAATCATCACTTTATCAATCGGATAGTATTTGTACAACGGAAATGATCCTCTTTCAAACTTATCATCATCCTATATCTTATTGATTTACTTGGAATGAGCCAAGAAATTTTTTTGAAAACTTATTTCATGCAATCAGTAATTAATTTCTTGCAATGATTTCATAATGTATTTTAAGTGGATGATTAATGTTCACACCTGTCTTATCAATGTAATGATCTATTTATGCATGCATGTAAAAATAGATAAGCTAATAGGTGACAATCGTGGAAAAATTGACTGTCCTCATTTCCGCATCTTTTTTTTTTTTGTTGCTAATATATCATAATTAGGCTGAATAGTGCTCTGATGATGAAATTATTTGTTGTGCTTTGCTTATTCTCACAGCAACTGCCCAAATTCTTCTCCAATCTTTTTTCCCAGAAAAGGTCATATAGCGAATGAGAATTGCCATTGTATGTTTTTATATTTATCATTAGTTTAATGTTTTAGTATTTAAAATAAAATTTCGAAATTTCAGATTATCCGATATAATTGCTATTAGTTTTCCTATTTTTGCAACATTTTAATTTTCCATATATCTTTTTATAACTTTTAAAGTTTTTATAATCATTAAATATTTCAGCAATTTTTGGCTATTTTTTTCATTGTAATTACTGTTAAGTTTTTACTTTTGTAATTTATTCTCAATCTCAAATTTACAAATGCCAAATTCTGCATTCAATTTCCTAATTTTCTATATTTCATTGAATTTGATTGTTATTAGCTAAATATAAACAGAGATAAGAATTAATTATCACTATATGATAATGTATAGTGTGTTTAAGATAATTAAGCATACGATAAATTAGATCAGAATAATTCGACAAATTAACAAAATAACTTGAAAATAATCATCATAATTTATTAGATTATCACAAGAAATAACCCTGTCTATTTACATTTTTTATTTTATTTTATCAAAACAAATCCTGCAACTTTTTTTCCTTGTTTACTTCAAAACCATGATTAAGTAATAGGATATGTGTAAGGAAAATGTCGCATGTCGAATATTTTATTCAAATCTTGTTAGCATCGTACTGTTTAAGATCATTGCTAAATTTACTTAATAATAACTATCTGCCAGCAGTCAATTTTTCGTTTGCATCTAATCGATAAATAATGAACAAAATTCAATATGAGCACAATAATATTTTGAATATAAATGAGTGTGAAGAAATATGGGAAGGAAATAAGCTGAAGCACAACAGATGCCTGTTATTTCTGAAGATTTTGATTCAATTTCGAGAAGCCATCTTGTCGAGAGCCCACATTAGTGGCAATATTAGGTTAGAGTAACCCTGAAGCTGAGGGTTGTAGTAAATTCTGAGAAATAATTTTGTCATCATCCTTTTTAAACAGATAGGAGAAAAAATGAGGATAGAATAAGGAAGGTTGTTAAAATGCTGCAAAAAGAGTCGTTAATTTGAAGAGATCGAAAAGGGAACAAAATAAATGCATGCTAACCAAACATAACCAATCAGAAATGATGGTTGTTAGGGTTCATCAAATGGAGAAAAATATTGAGGTGGAAGAAGAGATGTGTAAGATACATACACAAATTTGACAAATTATTGATATCTTTTTATTCAGTATCATCAACCCATAAGCCTGACAAGGTCAAATGTTCAATGTTGCCTTTCATCTTCCAGGCTAATTAACGCTTAAAATTATTATAAGTTGTGAATTTTTTCATTTTCACGATTTTTTTTTTCTTTGATATTTTGCTATTAGATGAAATATTCTAATTACACACGTTAAACTTAAAGTAGTCATTAGAAAATAAAGATAATTGAACTGCATTTCCTAATTAATGTAAGATAATTTCTGTTTCTTAATTCTCTCAATTGAGTAACACGTGTGATAGTTGTGTCAGCCAGATGATTGATATTCCGGAATTGGATTCTAATGCAACTGATAAACCAAATCCGTTACAAATCAGTTAAGTGATTTAGCTATGTTCACTTTCACGGATAATAAATGATAGCATAGAAACATCTCGTCATCATCCTGGGGAAATTACTCGTTCCGTAACAGCGTCCAAAACTTCACATTTCATCTGTGCAAAACTAAAGTATGAATTATTTAGGTCTTTTAAAAGTTCTAATAAAATCTATTTTTAAAAGATTCAGCGAAAACTTCTGCAACTACACTTTTAATAGTTCCTCAAATAATTCGGTCTGGTTAGTAAATAATTGCAATTATCATTTCAAATGTTATATGATCATATATGATAGCTTTTGGTCTAGTTCACCTGTCACCTGTACAACTTCCATTTCCTTCAACCTATCTTTGATATAGAACTAAATTTCGGAAATATTTCGAGAAAAAAGAATGAAAGCTATGTAGCATAATGAGAGTAAAAGAGAAAGAGCTTTTCTATTTCAACGTAACGGTTACGATTCATTGTGTTGGGTTAGACAGGTAGTGCAATATGGATATTCCGTATAAAAATGAGAATATTTAAAAGTAACGTTCAATGGGAGGTTTGCAATTTCATCCTAAAATAATTGTCATTAACTTTGAAAATGGTATCTTGATAACTTAAACGGGGACGGAATGAACGCCCTGATTTAACTGACGATAATACAAACCTGTTTTTGGTCAGCTTGACCCAACAATTATAACTTCTGGTACTTCAAACAAAGCATTACCAAAAGTTTTTCTATCGATCATTATACAGTGATCGATATTTCTTGTAAGGAAAATACTTTTATTATTATTGTTCCTTGTATAGAAAATTTTATAAGATGGAAATTATCGAAATCTCATTCAACCTCTTTCCTTCTAACTTCTCTTTTATAGAAGATTAAATAGTTTGCCTGCTTTCTGGTTTACATTCAAGTGATTGTCTTTCATACTTTTACCACTTTTATTATAAAAACAAGATAAGTCAAGTAGATCAAAAAAAAGAAATTGTTATATCAACGTCGGTGTGATCGTTGATGTGCACGAGTTTCACGACTTCTTGATCGTTGATGTGCACGAACATCACGACTTCTTGATCGTTGATGTGCATAAGTTCCACGACTTCTTGATCGTTGATGCGCACGAGTTTCACGACTTCTTGATCGTTGATGTACATGTGCTTTATGGCTTATTGGTCGTTCGTGTCGATAAGATCGTGCGTGTTTTCTATGATCTGGCGAGCTAAATTACTTATGTATAAATGACGAAAGAATGAAAGAAGTGCCATAAATGGAAGGAATTTTAGCAAAAATCAAACCTTGAGCGTCTTCTTGAATGCTGCTTTATCCTTTCATCAGATTGGATTTTCTTTTCTTCCTCACTATGTTCCTCTAATTTTAGTTTCTTGTGTTCGATGTCCGATTTCTGAAAAACAGCCAAACGTCCCAATATTATTATAACTTCTAGCTATTTATTCCTCAATTACTAATATTACATCACATGATAAATTAACAAGATCACTTAGATACAATCGAAAATTCCTTAATGTCTGAGAATATGAAAGAAAGTCTATATACTGTGGTATATATCCTTATTAATAGATAGTAGACACTTCTTCTTTTTCACTATGTTTCGCTAACTCCAATGCTTTGACATCGATATGATATGAAAAATAAAAATAATGAAATAAATTTCCGTGATCAGTTCATCAATCCTCACATATTTTTTTATTATATACTCAACACGCTATCTTCTCTAAAATTTCTTGACTTGTCTTTCATTCCATATTACAGTAATTATTTTTGCATTTTACCACGAAACTACAAAAAATATTTCAACTGCGATACAAACCTCTGCAACATCCGAGTTATGCACTCGTCCTTCCGATTCTGAAAGAAAAATATTGATAAGAAAAGTACTGATCGCTGGGGTTAAGTTTTTAAGATGGTTATTGAATATTTTCCAAACTATATTCCATTAGAGAGATTTTTAAGAATACAAACAAGATTCACAATGCATAAATTATGTATATCATTTTTGATATTGCTCATATTGAGCTTTAACTATAACGTTCACATCGCTCAGAAAGTAATGATAATAAATACAAAAGCAAAAATTGTAAAGGAACTGCAAGCCTTGGAAATGATATTAGCAAATGAAACTGAACTTTACAATATCAAGATATTTTAGTAGCTTCTAAACTAACGAAAAAATAAAAACATAGCCATTTGTAGATTAGGTAATCCGGAATCCAAATAGCACAAGCTTAAGAATTACCAGATATTGGTTGCTGTCATTCTCTATTAAAATGTCAACAACGGGCAAATTAGATGCCAATTGTACTACATTTGGCATCTAATTTGGCATAGATAGATAGCATAAACTTATAACAAGGTCTCTATAGAGATATATGTTTTGGATCATAAAGATTTTTACGGAAATATTAATCTGCAGCTATGCTAAGTAATAGGAGTGTACTAAATCAGTAATCCTAAAAATTCAACTTTTGAAGATGTCTTTGTATCTAATCACTTCGTAAGCATAGTAATGACATATTTTCCACAGCTTTCTACTATCTTCTAATGCTTCGGATATGGATTAAAAACAGAAAAAATATTACGCTTCTTTAGCTATCTTTAAATAACAGATATATTACATAGTTGATGATTTACAGATAGAGCAATACTGCAAAAAAGTATATAATGAAGTCCAGAATCGCCTGTGCTGTATTAATTATTACTGGATTGACGGAAAATGTTGGCCAAGTATACAAAGGAAGGAAATGGGTACCGCCCAGGATGAACCCAGATCTATTTCCAGTAAGTTAGAACCAGAACTAAGCTCTGTACAAATACAGTCATTAATTGTTAATTTCATAGCGTAAAAAACTGAATGCTCTTCAAAAAGTCGAAAATATGTTATTCATCAAACAAAAAATCGAAACTTTTTTGAGCAATAAATTTGAACCAAGATTAATTATTTCCTACTATAGGAGCCTGAATTCGATTTATCATCGCCTGAATGCATACCGTACCGTGAACCTTGCGGTTTCTATAGCTTCACTATTAATGGTTATCCGCCACTAAAATGGGTCAAATCCTGGTTAGTATGCCACTTTTTATGATAAAATAAAGTCTATTTATTTATAATGGTTTGATATCATTAAAGCTACTTTAAAAAATTGAATAATAAACTTTCTAGATTCCACTTCCCCTTTTTTCACCCTTCTCAACTCGGCTTTCCCATCCCATACGCCTATCAATCATTCAATGAATTCTAAGCGAGTTCGCGTAACTAAACCTACTTTGATTTTTTATTGAAAAATTAATTTAAAGGTACAACGAAAGCAAAAACTAAAACGATTAAATTATTTGAACAATTAGCTGATATATCTGTATCACCGACACAATATTTTAATAAAAATTTAATTTTCATGTTTCAAAAAATTTCCAGGTGCAGATGCGATAAAGATCACATATGTACGTATGAACGAACGGACATGAAAATGCGCATTTATCGACACTCTTGTACCCCAAAAGATTCCAAAGAATACGATTAAATTTCCTGCTCTTTTTTAAAATTCATTTCTTAAAGAATGATTCAGTTGTTAAGTGTATGTTGTTATGCGTGTGTATATCGGAAAATAACCTCTCTTCACCAAATTGAATTCCAAACATCATTTTTTAAATGGAAACTAAATTTCTCCAAAATTTCATATACACGGTATTTTTATGTTCCTTTTCTTTTGCAAAAGAAAAACTGAAGTACAAAAAGTGCTGCACAATGCAATCACATTTAATTTTGGTATGAATTACAAAAAACATTTTGACAAAAAAAGATAATGTTGGCTGTGTAATTATTTTTTTTCTAATTCATGACCAATGTTTTCTTCGTAAGAATTAGTGAATCTAATAAAAAACAAACATATGGATATAAAAAAACAAACATATGGATATAAAAAGAATTCTTTTCTTTTTTTTCTCCCTTCCCAACAAATATGAGAGAACCGTGGGACAAAATAAAGAAAAAAAATAATGGCAAAAGATTGCTAATTACAATGTGCCCAATTTCATTCTGATTGGCTTGTGGATTTCCCAAAAATGAAAGGAATGTGCATTAACCATTTTTTTGCGCTTCAAAATTTTTTTTTGCGGCAAAAATAGCCTCTTTTGAATTAGAAGGGAAAACCCTCTATATAAAGAAATAATCTTGAAAGTGTTCCCTCTCTCTCACGTAAACGAAAAAAAAATCATAGATAAACAAATTTAGATCATATGTCAATATAATTTTCGTGCTGCTTTTTTGATTACTTTTCATACTTTTTAAAATTCTACATTTTTATCTATGAATCATACTGCTAATAATTGTGTATTTAAGTGATCCATATTTTGTATCTATGAATCATACTGTTAATAATTGTATATTTAAGTGATTAACTAATTTCTAAAGATCCACTTCTGCATTGAATTTATTTGATGACATCTATTTGTCAATTATTTTATTTAGCCCTCAACATGTATCTTGATCTCATGCTATTACTGCGATAGTCGTGCGCAGAGGTTAGATAAACATGTTTTTTGGTACTTAAACCTAATCCATGATGAGAAAACTATGAAAATGTAACACATTAAAATTAACCGTTTTTCTAAGAGGATGTGCCTTTCAAATATTTGAGATCATCTTCAAGACAAGATGTAAAATTAACATGAGAGGTCCTATGACTTATGTCTTCAATTTTGTCTAAATTGGAATAGTCGTAGCTTATCAGTAACGCAAATTGCTTACCGTTCTTTCTTTTCCATTGGTAATTTTTGGCAACAGACTGAGAAAAATCAACATGAATTCGTCTATCATCAATCAGTACGTTATCCATTTTGAAATAAGCGTTCTCACAACTTTGAACCTGACAATGCGGAAAATAAACAAAAAATTAGTCGATTCACAGATTTTTAAAATCAATTTTTGATTCCATAATGTACAAGGACACTAAATTAATATCAAGAAACAAAGTTGCCGATCCTCATTACTTTCAATGTCATTGTTAAGAATACGTTAAGCTCTTTCTTTGGAAATGGTCATTATATTTTTTTTTTGTTGTTGTCAATAATTCATTAACTAAACATCCTGCCTTTCCCGATACAGACCAAGTAGGATATTTTTCAACTGAAATACTACTCGGGATTAAATGGCGACGCTCAGCTGTAAATTAAACAAATGGTTGGGCATCATTTGTAAGCTCAACCCCTATGAATTCTAATTCCAAAAAACAAATTACGCTGATCATAACATTGACTATATGTTAATACCATTTCTGACATCTCACCTCTTCAAATTCGATGAATGCATATTGCAACGAAGCACTCGTTTTCCTATCACGAATGATTTCGCAACATTTTATTTTTCCAAATCGAGAAAAAATAATTTCGAGATCCTGGAAGTGACGAAAAAAGTTGAACATAGCAAAAAACCATCCAATAGAAAAAATTTAGAAAAAAATTCTTAAAATTAGCACGTACTTCATCCGTGGTAACTGGATTCAATTTACACACAAACAAAACATTATCAGGTGGTTTCTCGTCTGCATAATGCAAATCGCCTACCTAAATTAAAAAGATGTAAAACTTATTCAATAATAAAATAATTCCTTTACAATTTGAATATTACTAACAATTTCTGGTCATTCCATGTAAGGGTCATTCCATGTGAGTTTTTTGGATCATGAAATAAAAAATCGTAGTAATTAAAGTTGCTACACTTTTAATCTTTTCGCTTAACCTTCAGTTAAATATTCAGTAAATGACTGGAGCATCTTTGTTCCTTCAGTCAAATAAAACTTAAATGATTACCTACACAAAATGAAAACTTGTAAACTGACAGAAAAAACTGGTAACGGAAACGTACCATTTCCAGAATTTGTGCCTGCGCAGCCATATCTTTAGTTTCAATTTCTTTCTGTATTTCTTCTTCAGTTTTACCTTCTTCCTCATTCAATGACTGATCTAACGCAATTTGAGAAACCTATATTTCGGAATTAAGCAAAATTATCAAGACTCTTCATTCATTCCGCGCTACGCATCTTCTGATACTTACACAGTCGTATGTAGACATCATTCACTGCATTAACTTTCCAACAAAAATGATATCCATTGTTTAATCTACCACTACTTGATTAGGCTGTTAACGATTTTTCATAAAAATAAAACAAAAAATATGAACTACATGAAACTTTGAGTTTTCCAAAAATCAAGAAAGCTAAAAGCATAAAAAAGAAAAATTTTTTAAAACATAGACAACTTACATTTAAGAGGTCAACTGTCGGTGATGGCGATCTGCTCGGAAAACAGAGTTGTTTAGGATCATCAAAAGGATCATCCAATATAACAGTATGAGCTATGCTTTAACATAAGAAATATTCAAAAAATTTGCGTAGCTGTCATGGAATTAAAGGAAAAAATTAAGGAAACAATTTTAAAGAGAAGCATGAAATAAAATAATTTTGTGAAATCAACGGAAAACAAAGAAAAATAGCCAACTCACCGTATATCTCGAAATGGCCTGTTTTGCTCATCGCAAATCTCTTGATTCAGCTTTTCTAACACATCTAGTCCTTCAGTTACTTGTCCGAAAATAGTATGCTTCTCATCCAAATAATCTAAATTGTCACCTAAAATGAGCAATAATTATCCAGAAGCATCATCAACAAGTACCAAAATTGCAAACTCAGCAGTTATTTACTATTATCATACTCAGGCTATAGTATTAGCAAAAAAACCGCAGACCCAGAGTGATGAAAAATTGACTGCCAAGCATGTTAGCACCATTATTAACCATCGATACTATGCCGATTCTGGTATGGCGCAATTTTGGAACAAATTCTGGCTCAAAATAACGTGCTTGATCACCATATAAAGAACTGAAAATAAATGGCATTGGTTAAAGCAAGAATAAATTTCGAAAGCAGGAAGTAACTGAAACTTACGCAAATATCGATTCTCCACCATTGCCCGTGCCAGTTGGATCTCCTGTTTGAACGATGTAGTTTTGCTGCAAAATACAAAATCAAAATAATTGATTTGATCACAATTTAAAGAATAAATTTATAGAATGTATTTTAAAAAAGCAATGTATTCTATATAAGATTATAATCCTGCATAAAATTACAAGACTGTTCATAAATTTATCGACCAAGTGAAGCATGATTGAATGATCAATAAGGAATATGCAAAAATCCAAAAAAATAAGTGAATAAATAGAAATTGTATGTGAACATTCGATCTGCAAAATGGTGAATGTTTAATTATAGATAACAAAGAAATTGTACATCTATGAAGATACCTCTATTGCATGAAACTGGCAAAAATTGTAATATTTCAATTTACACAACTTCAGAAAGTTGAGACAACCTGAAAAACAAACAATAATCTCGTACTTACAATTTTTTCATAAAAATTTAAAAATTTTATTTCAATTAGCTGAACTGCTTTAAATTAGATTGGATCACACCTCATAAGAATACTCGCAATTCTGAGCACATTTCAGCTGAATCGATAAAACTTACATCTCGGGCGTTCCTTTACGAATAAGTCGATAACAATATCACCAACCGTCGTTTCAACCAATACTGCCATATGTTAATATTATTAAAGCATATAGAACAAGCAGTTTACTCGCTTCAGATTAAGCTGAAAAATCTCTCTAATTGTAGAAAAAAAAGATCTGAAAAAATCAGTTTTGACTGATCTAGCAACTATTCATACTGAGCATTTGGTTGTTCAAATTTTAGATAGAATTCCTGTTGTGATCCGTCATAAGCTCTTTCCTAATTCTCAAAAACGGTAAAGTTATCTGAATTACGCAATAATCTCGGAAAATAAAAGTAATTTCAGAATGAAAAGGATCGCAAAACCATCCGTCGCTTGATTTCAATTTATGCAATGTCACAATATTTCATGAAAATGAAAATTCAAATTTCGGTAAATTCTGGGAATAAAAATTTCAGTCTAGAAATTTTCAAACCTTTATAGCAATAAAATCAACACCGCACGGAAAACGGTTAATCATTTCAAGAGTCTTCTTTGGAAAAAAAATTTTATACAAATGAAAACTTAACATGAGATTTACAAATTTCAAAGAATGTTCAAATATTAAGAGCCTTGGAAAGAATGTGCTTTTTCCTTAAGTGCAGTGATAATTTCTTCAGACCATTTTTCACGAATTTCATCCCAGACTACTTTCACATGTTTTGAATCACCCGGTATTGATATCAATGTGACCTCACCATTAAACATTTCTATACCATCCTGAAACGAGCCTTTCTTGTCAATCCGTAAAAAAATTGTAATAATTTCGTGAAACCAAAAGTTTGAGAAAAATACTTACCTCTTTCACTTGCAAATTAGGATCGTATACTTTCAATTTAGCAGCAAAAACTTTCCAATTTACATGATCAACCTCTACAGTTTCACCAAAGGCAATAGTATGCAAGCATTTGCCCAGCTGTCGTGCTGCTGCTTCTGGTGTCATAACTTCCAACTGATTTGTCTTGAAAAAACTATATGTAAAATTTGGGAAACAATAGATAGTTACTAAAAACTATTCAATTTTCAATTCAATTATCTAAAAACAACCTGTTTATCCATAGCCAAGAAAGCACGGAAAGGACAAAAGCGCTTGCTTGGTGTGGGATCCAAATTAATACATCGATCTATTATTTGCACGGGAATATTCAGACATATATTTAAAGGAGTTTCAATTGTAACTGTTTCACCATTTGCCGGTTTGAATACCTTTAAATTAAATTCCTGCAAAAAACTATTATAAACAATGTTATAGAAACATAAAGCTGGATGTCTAATAAAAATAAAATAATTGTTGAAATCTAACCTTCTCTACTTTTTCTTTTAAGAACTCCATTTTTGCATCTTCACCATGCACAAACATAACATTTCTTGGTTGACAATCACGGATAAGCTAAAATAATTGACAGTCTTTCAGAAAATCTGTCACATCAAATTCAAGACAGAAAGAAAGAAGATAGCAAATAGTCTGAATACAAGCATATCTAATGCCAAAGCTCTCTATACTTGGAAAATAATATAATCTGCGGATAATTCTTCAAAACCAAACATTTTACCTGCATTATGCCTTTCGCGTCAGCATGCGCACTGAATGACATATATTCGACTCCCAAATTAATTTCCCTCTGGAACAGCACGAAATTAATTACTGAAATTGCAAACATTTGGAAAGACTATACGAAATTTTGAATTTTTTGTTAACGAAACAATTGATATAAATAGTATACCAGTTACCATTCTTCCGGCGATTTCAATTTTTTTCATTCCTGAAATTACTTTCGCTCCAACCGTATTAGCAACGCAAAAGCCAGGCATGATGATTAAATTTTTCTCATCTGAACACCATTTTGTAAAAACTCGTAAAGACTGCCCACCATGCAACATGCCTGTAACATGCAAGAGGTAAATATAATAGGAATTTAGGGGAATCTTATAAAGTACTGTTAAACTATTACAGTCAACATAAGGTTGCTTAAACCTATCTCCTTTCGATTATTTTTCATCAATTTTCCTCTCCATCTCTTTGCAAGTACTAATTTTCAGTTAGTCAAGAAAATCTTCCCTATTCCAGTTACGAACAGATCAGTACAAATACTTACCCGGCGTGCTGAAAAGTACCATTGGACCAGGACTGTCAATATAAGATTGCTCGAAGGGTCTAATATGCTTGAAATCAAACATGTTTCGTTCAACAAATGTTCTCTTGATCTTTTCATTTGTCCAACTGATAAATAAGCGATAATACTGAAAAAGAGAGACAAAGGTTTGACGAAACAAGTTCCAACTTCAATCATTCAAAAACCTAGTATGTCGGGATTCGATGGTGTATAAAATATTCAAATTCAAAACCTGAATATGATTGCTAATATAAAGTAATATAACAAAAGAAATTGAAATTACAATGTAAGCTAATATAATTCTGAATTGAAACGGCTCCTAATGAGAAAAAAGATATACCTGATTAGCTTTCTCTGCTAATCCCTGTGAGAAAAATATTGGGTACTTCAGATTCATCCGCTCCCAGTACGATTCTAGTAAAATACATAATTCTTGTGCACGACCAAGAGCAAAAACCGGGATTAAGACCTTAAGCTTAGTTACTGTACACATTTTTGTATCAAGAAGCAATAAAATCAAATGAATATGCTTTATTATTATTAAAGCTAAAAGCTAGTTTATTTACAGCAAGGAAAATAGAAAACAACCTTTCCACCATTCGATACAGTGTCATGAACCTTTTTCAAAAAATCTCGTTCGCGAGCACGTTTTGAATCTCGTATGGTTGTCGCATAAGTGCTTTCTGATATTAGTATGTCAGGCTTGAGGCCTGGTTCAACACGCGCAGCACCCAGATGTCGATCAGGTGTTGTATTAAAATCTCCTTCAAAAAAGTGATAATTTGGCAAAGGATGTCCTATTTTGTTTCAAAAAAACAAAACTATGTCTAGTAACCTTGAAACAAGAAAATGCTTAAAATATGTATAGGTGACAATTTAAGTTGAGTTAATGCCATGATGAACCTGTGTATAAAACACTTTCAGAGCCGACCACAATTTGAAACATTGCAGCACCAAGCACATGACCCGCATAAAAAGCTCGTATCGATAATTCATTATCTACATCGATTTTCTCATGTATATTTATCGCGATTACCTGCAACCCAAAATTGAGCACCATTCCAAAAAAAAAAACTCGAAAAAAATGAAGCATGAAACTGAATTTAACCTTTTTCATGCAGTTTTTGATCATTTGAGAAGTAAAAAAATTCTTATCTCCTTTAAATTCAGTCTGAACTTTGCGATAGTCCTCCTGAAATCTCTACCAAATATATTTAATACGTAAGATAATACGTCAAATTGACAACTTGACAATTTAATAAAATCAATTCATGCAAAATTTTCCCTTCTTTACTATGATCAGTTGATCTTAAAATGAGAAAAATGTTCGAAAAAGTTGGAATGGAACTCCGGGAATCAGGCTAAAAAACGGCATTAACTACGAAAATAAAGAAATGTAAAAGGTCAAAATTTGTCATATAGCTTGAAGAAACCAAGGATCTGAAAATTAACCAGTAACAAAATATTACCAATAACACAGGTGCAATTGCTTTGGTTGGATACGTCATATAAATTGGCCCATCGTAGCCAACAACTTCACTCATATGAGGAAGCGAGCCACAGTGATCCAAATGAAAGTGAGTTATGATGACACAATCAACGAATTCCGTTAAAGACCCACCACCACTAATAAAACTAAAATATGTATAAATATATAAAGACGAAAGAGTTGGTATCTTCACAGTGCCGAATAAATTACAGAATTGAATAATTCAGAAAACCAGAGGGGTTTCTAAGTGGCAAAAAAACTGCCGCCCGAAACTAGGATTGTTTGTGGCTTCAAAAAGTAAGATCTAGAAACACTGGATAAAATCCCTAAAATAAATTAACAAACTAACGAGAAATCAGGAAATCGTCGTTCATCGGAATAACCCATATGCATACCACAGTCAAGCATTACATTTCTACCGCCAATGGATACCAAGATACAACTTCTACCAACGTCTCGTCCCGCACCAAGTGGAACTATCTTTAATGAATATTACTGAAAGCTAGCATCTTGTTTATGGAACCTAATCCAAGCTTCATAAAAGAATTTGCCAATTAGGATTTTTAGGATTTCAAAATAAAGATTAGCTCTGATTAGAAAGTGACAAATGACGATTCAAATTATATGGATAAAATAATGATATAAAGTCTACCAATTAAGATGTAAATATTTCCAAAAAGACATAAACAATCTGGACGCACGAAATTTAATATCTAAAAATCAGTATAAGAAATAAATCAGCAGTAAATTATTGCTGCTTACTTTAATTTCGGGCATCGCTAACAAGTAGATATCAATTTCCCACATACAATAGCATTTCCAGAATAGAACATGATCTGACGTACATATTATCAAGAATACACTACTGGATTCCTGCAATAATTTTTTTAAGTAAATATCGAGTTTTTTCACAGCCGATTATTTTAATGACATTATCATCCTCGTTTACTTTAAATTATGAAATGCAATGCAAGGCACTTTTTCAATTAAAATTCACTATAAGAAGTCAACGATTGTTCATGGAAGATGACTGAAATATATGATCAAACACTCACTAGCAACTTTGGAGGATATAAAAAAAGAAAAACGATTTTATTTGTAAATTTTGCGAATTCTTAATCATTTCTTTATTATTTAATGAATATACGTTCAACTGATTCTCACAAAACCAATCTTTGCCATCTTTTCATGCATTCTCAATTACCGATATCATTGCGAAGCATATTGTTTGATTATTTTCATAATTCCTAACATCTTTAAAATTTCCAGTATCCACTCAAATCCTCTCGCGCACTTCAGCAAACTGTAAATAACATTCCCACTTCCCGTACGAGAACATTTCCCGAGAGCAACCAAACTCTAAACCGGGACGTTGCATTCCATCGGATGCAACGGACTGTGGAACGAAGGGTCAGATATTCGTGGTCAGTCAAGATTACCCTCATTCTCGGGTCTTTCATTCCGTAGTTGGCATGGATTATTCCGTAATTACTAAACCGTAATTCAACTCACTATTATCTCAGGCCATTTTCACTTAGGTCACTTTAGGCGTTGGGTCATCATCATTGAAGTAATTTTATTTACCATGTAAAAAGATTGTATTTTTCGTGAAATAAATTTTTGCGAAAATTTCAGATCACGAATTAGCACAATTTTAGTCATCATTAACTTTCTAGCAATTGGATTTTTTGCGCTTAACTTAATGGGATGCAAAAGAAAACCAGAAAATAAGTATAAATACTTTATTGATGGAACACATACAAGTACGTATATGTACGTCTAAAAAAACTAAGGAAATATTTTGAAAATAAGTGAATGTAATAGAAAAACGAAAAATGATTATAGTAGGACGAACATTGCAAAAAAAAAGCGAAAGAAATTTATATCATTATTGACGGTTTCAAGGCAGATCTAATCTATCAAGGTATAAAAAACATAAAACAATTTTTACGTAATGAATTTAAAATCTTTAAATAGAGCTAGCTATTTTTTTTATGTAAGAGAACTTAGAAGGAAGACAAAAACTGAAAGAATTAAGTCTTAATAGATAATAATTAAACTGAAATATCATAACTGAATCCAGTATTTCCTTGTCCTTTCCAAGTGCAAAAAAAAACAAAGGAAAATTGTGGACAAATTTGTTTTTCTCAAAATTTTTCAAATTTCAAATAATTTCAAGAAAAAAAAATCATTTTTCATTTTGCTTCTTCTTATACTGTGAAGTATATCTGACAGGAAAAGATATTTTACGCATACATTTTTCTACAGTTACATTTTGATGAGCAGTGTTGCTAAAATTGTGAAATGCAATCAGTGTAATACAACCGGTCATCTTTTTGCAGTTCGATAATGCAGGATTCAGTCATGTCATCACAGAAACAACCTTCATCACTGAAAAAATTTTTGCTAATTTTATTTAGCAAATTTTATGAGTAGCGGAAATGAATCAGCTAATCTAACAATGTACATAAAAAGTTTGTAAATTGCGAATGTAATTTTTCACAAGATTTTTGTTTTCATCCTAATTTTTATGACATTTGTAAGCAAATTTATACATCGAATGATAGTTTGAGTTATCAGAAAATTTGAAGGACAGAAATTTGTAAGAAAGTACTGATAAAATATATAGCCTTTGCTTTTGACCATTTGTTTAGATATGTACCATTTCATGTTTTCTTCAACTTATCGTGATGTTTATTTGAATATAATTTTGTTTATTGTTGGCTTAACAAACTTTTAGAGTTAAAGTTTCGAAATAACAGAATTGAAAAAAAAAGAAATCCGAAACGATTCAAAGGAATTTCATTTTTAATAATAATAGGAACAGGATTGAATAAGCTTACGTCCAACTTCCAAATTTCAAATCACTCCATACTTTTGGTTCACGCAAGCCGTAACAGTCTGCGTGCAGTTGACATCTTTTCCGTCTGAAAATGATCTCAACATACAGCAGAAAAATAATTACTAAGCCAGGAGAAGTTTTATAGTGATGAGAAACCATTTTCGGTTATTTATGTTTAGTAATTATCGACACCTTTTTTTCGAATTGATAATTATTCCATTTTTATTTGCTAAGAAGATGAAATTGTTAAGCCGAATTGAAGCTTTCTATGATGCTATTCAGTTACTTTTGTGGTAACTTACACCCCATCAGTTTTTTCATAGATGGCGCCACTCTTTGCCTCACCTCGGGTACCGGTCGATTGTTGAACTGTTGAAGTTGTTGAAGGTAATGTCGATGATAGTTGCTTCAGTACTGTCTCCTCTCGTGGTAGTACAGTTGTAACTTCATCCATAATACCATCACCATCCATGAATGTTCTTATCTCTGATGCATTCGTCAATGGTGCAATATTGGAAGACATTGAAGTGAGGTTGAAATCCTCTCCATTTGCATCTATCATAATACGACTTTCAACACTATCATCAATTGCTTCTAAGTTTCCCACATCCCTTTTTAGACGTTTTGCACTTTCTTGGACAGTTACCAATTCCGATGAATCGGTAACATTCATTTCTTCCACAATTGGTACAGTTCCATTGTCAGTTGTCACAGTCATTGCTAAATTGTTTGTTTCAGTTCCTGTAAGCTCCATCATACGTCTTGTCATTGTAATCTGAAATTGACAAAAATATTTTTGTAAATTCAATAAAAATATCAAAATTAATACTAAGCTTACAAGTAAGAAGCTTTGAGATTTTTAAATTTTAGACTTTCGCAAATCACTAATTACTGTTTTGCATGCTTACTTATCCGCCAGTTTATCTATTATAATCCGAAATCTGGAATCCAAGAATTATCTTTTTGTAAGGATTTAAAACCAATTCGTTTTCCAAAATAAAATTCATAAAAAAAGTAGCAATGATATATGAGGAAAGAGTGAAACAAACTTACATCACTTGTAGTCAATGGTGATGTTGAAAGTGACGTAACGTAAAGTATAACAAGTAGGAACGAGTAGTTTATTTGATTCATCCTTTTTGAGAAATCAGAATTGTTTCACTTATAAAACTACAGAAATCTATAATAGCTTAAATAATTACATTAAAATAATTTCTTCTCCAAATTTGAATGAAAATTTGGGAATGTTTGAATTAAAGATAGTGGAGAAAGGAGAAGAATGAGTTTTCATCATTTAAGTTATATTAAAATGATAATATCGAATGATATTTGCACAAAGAGAAGCGCGCAGTTATGATCCACTTAATAAACTTAATTGGGCATGATATACATAACCCGCCTAATATGAATTTGAATTTGAGATTTGATTTGATTATGCAATATTCACATCTCGAAATGAGCAAGCGGATCATTTAACAGAGATCACAATTATATAGAATAAGTGAACAATGAATATGATCAAAAATAATAATCAATCATTCGTCTTGATCAGATATTATTCCAATACTTTAAACATTGCATATCATAACTTACAATTATATCAAGTCTTTTCCGTTTACTATTAATATTTCCCATAAATGTACTTTAAGGATTTGAATAAACTTTCAAAATATCTCATCTAACTAAAATTTCATTTCGTATTAAATCTATGAATGTATTTTAAAGTTACTCAACATGAGATAATTCTAACGATGCAAGTAGGAAAAAAATTTTAAGTCATTTCGAAAAATTTCACAAGCTGATTGGTCGGAACGAGAAGATGAATGGAACAACTATCATTCAAGATTTAATTAAAAATATATATATATTCTCAAGCCTGGCTGGAATAGAAATGTCATATATCGCATTGGATTATCTGTAAATAAATTAATGGCAAAACGTACACCAGCGCTTCTTCCAACTAAAATTTGCTTATAAAAAAAATGATTGAAAATTTTAGGCAATCTTTTAAAATCTTTGTCAAAATAAACAAAATTAATATATTAATATTTTCAAAATTTTCCTTATCTCAAGATTAGATCAGTGCTAATTAACAACAACAATAATGCATGGAAATAAAATCAATCAAAAATATTTACCTTAAAAATCTAAACTTCATAGCTTTAAATATGCAATAAAATTTTTTGGAATATTTCTTCTTCTTATTATTATTAAAAATACTGATTTTATCATTCGCTATATTACATTTAAGTTGCTTGCAATTATTGATTATTATTACATTTCTCAAAGTATTATTATCTGATAACGAATCGATTGTCAATCATCGATAAAGTCGTGAATGATATGAAAAAATGAATTAATCAGACAATCATATCAAATAATATATATTGGATAAAATTTCTACAGTTTCTGTCAACATTTGTTATACTTCAGCAAATGCTAATATTCAAAGTAAATATTTGCAATAATAGCCGGAATATATATAAATCCTATCTATAATGTTTGTTTTTATTATCAGTGTTCCTTTAACAATTATTCTTTTAATAATGCATGAATTTTTATATGCACCTCTTAATTGCTAAAAATAAAGAACTTAAAAAGAATTTCCCACTTTTCCAAATAGTTTTCTCAAAATAACAAAGAATTACAGGATTTTTTTATTTAATAATATAATCTGTATCAAACGTATGGTATAATGCGTAGTGAAGATTTGAAATTCACAAAATTTTAAATTATATGATAAAACCATTCTTTTTTTTAAAATGAAATTTCTTTTTTTTTCGAGATAAAATTTCAAAAATTAACGATTGATGAAAAGACGAATTTTTTCTTTTGCACGCTTTCAAATATACAAATTGATTGGAATATTATTAATAAAAGTATACAAGACTTCAAATATAGGAATTTATCTTATCATAAATAATTTCAACTGCAAAAAGACGCACTCTTGCATTCGTCGATGAGAAGAAACGCAAAATACGTCTTAAATGCATGAAATGTGAGAACGTCGAAAATTAAATATGTAAAATGTTGAAATAACAGACAATGGAAATGTTACAGTTTAACAAAAGAAAAGCAGCGGGAATTTTGTGATTTGTGAAACACTGAAAACAATCGGTAAAGAAGGCATTAACAAATGAACAGAAATGGAACGCATTCATACATGAAAAATAAATTTCGAGCGGATATTTTTTTGGAAAGAAAGGAAAAGAAAAATTAAAGAAAGTTTCTTTTTGACACACTTTCAAAAAAAAAAATTTTTTTTTTATTCTGAAAAACTATTCGTCATCTCTGATATAGTCATTCATTCGGTGGATATTCACGTTGATTTCTTCTTTCTTACAATAAATTATCGTTTCATTTATTGAGAAAAAAAGAAAAAAAAGAAGAAAAGAAAAAATTAAAATTACAAAGATGAAATAAATCAAAAATATATCAAAGAACTAAAAATTGGTCATATCGAATTCTAACCTTATTGAAATAAAAAAAAAAATTAAAATTTGCTTCTCGATGTATTCGTTGTTTAGATTACTTCAATTATTTATTTATTTATTCACATTTCATTCTTTTGTACAACAAACATGAAGTCACATGCGTGCTAAACAGTATCAGCCAACGATATCGTAGAAACAATGGTAATAAAAAGTACTTCTGCAAGGTAGCAATCACATATAATAAGGACATCTTACCTGTTCATTAGCCATCTGACGTAACAATCAGCTTGCATGACGACGATGAATCCAGCAAATTAATTTCATCTTAATTTAATTTCATTTTATATTTGATCATATTTAGAGAATAACAAACAGATGCACGAACATTTGAACAATTTTATTTTGCCTTAATAATTTGAAAATTCGAAGATTTGAATGCTATGAACCAACGCTAACAGTAAAATTTATCTGACTTATGAATAGAAAAGTAGTGAAGTGGAAAAATGTTTTTTAAAATTTCAGAATTCAATATTTTTACCTCTTACATCCCTTATTTTTTCAGAAACAATTTTCAGTGAATGTTCAGTGCAATTCAAATTGATCTCTGTTTTTCAGTTTTCCAACTTTTGCTATAATCAGAGTAAGATTTCAATTCTGAAAAGCATTGACAATGTTAGGCCTTCATGTGCTTCTTATCAGTGCTTTATCAATATAAAGTGATAACGTTGACTATATGTATAAGCAAATAGGCAGTGCTTTAATTTTATTTAAACTAAAAGAAAATTCGAGCCATTGAAGCATAGAATGGTAGTAAATTATTGTCAGTGTTGTACATTATTTCGCTTCTTCCTAACTGTCGGAATAATTTTAATAATTATTTCAATTCTTCTATGGGCTATATTCACTCCATTATTCAATGCCATCTTAATTTCAGTAAGTTTACTTCTCAGTCAGTAGAAAAAAAAGAGAAAGCAAATATTGTCAATTAATTCAGTACATGATTTTAATTCGAATGAGTTATTTAATTGATTAAAGCAAAATAGAATTGATATTTTAAAATAGTTAGTAAAAATGCTTCAAGAAAAAATTTTTCAGCGATGTCTTTTATTTTGGTACAATTTCGAGAAATATTTTTTGTTGACTATCTAATGAGTATGAGTTATTCAAATCTGATTTTACCTGTAATTTGATCCAAAAAGATCACGCTCGTAATTTGATCAATATTCTAAAAAAAAGATATAAATTTAGAATATGGTGCTAACAGTCTCCAATTATGGAAAATTATCACATTCCAGCATGTTATGGTCTGAACCACCGCTAAATATCACAATGTCTTTCAGTTTTTTCAACATTTCCAATAGTGAACAGGTTTTCAAATCTTTTATAATTAATCACGCGTTCATTAAATGAAGGAAAAACTTCGGTTAATTAGTCAGTAATTAATTTTATTTCAAACAAAACGTCGAAGTTATCGTTATGAATATGAATACATGCATATGTGGGCGTATTTGCGAGAGCGGATGTAATGGGTACACGAGTGTGGGCGTATTTGCGTGAATGGATATGATGACTTTGTATGGTACGAGTGCGAACGTGGAGAAGTGTGAATGTATGGGTGTATGCGTGTAGAGATGCGTAGGATGTGAATGAATTGATATGAGCGTCGAGATGCGTGGTTGTGCTTAAGGTGTACGTGTAAATTATGTCCTCTTTAGATATAAATGTATCCAACGAATAAAAAAAAGAAGTGCGCTTTTCAAGATGAAAGATCATTTTGGAAAAGCAAATTTCTTTCCACTATTTCCTCTCTGTAAAATTCATTTCACGGATGCAATGAGCAGCCTTCACGTCCTCCACACATTTGGCATTAATCGCCATCATAAGAAAATAAATCCCATGCTGTTTTGAATTTCACATAATCATTTTTTTTTCATCAAATTAAGGTGCAATATTATGGAGCAAAACCAAATATCACCGAAAAAGGACCTTTTTCGTTCCGGTATGTGCTATCTCAATTATTTATTAATTGAAATAAATTTAATTAATTGAATAGGACAAAACAATTCCTTCAATGATGAATGTTAATCCTAGAACTTTGTCATCGAATTAATTCTAATTCGTTTCAAACACCAATTAACAATCTTTCAGGATGACAGAGAGAAAGAAAGATTTGAAATTCAGTGAGGATAGCAATACAGTTTACTACAAAAGTTACAAGCAATACTTTTATGATCCCGACATATCGTGTCCCAAGTGCCGCAACGACCCAGAATTGCTACTTCCGAATGTCGTAGCACTGGTAATATTTCCGTCTAATTTATCAATTCCACTTTTTATCATCTTCATGAAGATTAGATTAGAGATTAGTTATGAATTAATTGAAGTTATTATTTTTCCTCAAGAACTGCTAAAATTACTTTAAAATTTAAAAAGCTTTTAAAATGTCTTGATGACTCTACACTACCTTCTTTACTTTTAAAGTTTATTGAGCGATAATCATTTGTATATTAGCAGTATATTCGTTTAGAGAAGTTATCGATTTCTTATAATTTTAAGTAAACAATCTTTCTGGTTTCGGATTCCATTTTATTTTATTTTTTTTTTAATGGCAAAAAATTGAAAATGTATATTTCAGGAAACTGTAACAACAATGATTCAAGAGAAGGACTGCGATGCAACCTGTCGGTTAATAGTTGATATCGGAATGCTTCTTATGGGCGAGTATCCTTTTCGGTAAGATTATATTTTTCATTTCAATGATGTCAAATTTGTTAAAAACTATTTTAAGTTTTAAATGTTAAATTCACACAAATTTCAGTTTTCAGACAAAAAAACTGCTAAATAATATGCCAAATTTTCGAACTACTAAAATCCATTTGCTTATTAAATTAAATACTAAATTTAGAAAACTGAGACCCTTGAATGTTACATCCTACGGATACAACGATCCGATAGTTTCGTTTGTAAATTCGCCCATTTTTAAATTTCTCAGCGATAAATTTAACGGCGGTAAACCGATCATTCCACTCAAAATCCCATACTTACCAAATTTGGCGATATTTTACAGAGTATGTTTCTCTTTTTCAAAAACCTTTATAAGTTTTTAAATTCTAATGTTTATTTTTCATTTCACTTCATTTGCCAAACTTTAAAGTATGAATAATTGAGCAATCGAATAATGAAATATTTCGATTATAAAATGATTAGTTTTTGTAGTTGTGAAATATCAAAGTAACTTTCTCAATGACAAAAATTTTTTCAATTCAGTTAATTTCTTTTTCTTCTGGTGACACCTATTCTGTGAAATTTTTAGGCAATTTGCCGAAAATTCATATTATGTTTCAGCTAAATAATTCTAACGATGAATATTATATTATTGAAACGGGCAAAAAAGATATCAATTCAATTGGATTGATTCGGGAATGGGCCGGATCTGATCTTTTGCCGTCACCGTGGTGGCAAACAACGCAAGCGCGAATGATCAATGGAACAGGTTCCTTCTTTATATATTAGTTTTCGAAGTTTTATCTTCAATTCAAAACTATTATATTTTTCAAATTTATAGCATATGAAAAAGGTTTAATGATTCGTTTATATTTATTTAATTTTAAGAAAATTTAAGAAAATGAAAAGTTAAATCTTTTTGATTTCCATTGTTAACTTATCAAAATCCGTTTTTCAAAAAGAATTTACATATACTAATCGATTTCCTCTTCAGGCAAAGATAAACTTTATTACAGTAAAATATTTTCAAATTTCAGATACCGGCAGTTTTGCACCATTGCACTTGACCCCTGATAGTATTCTTCTTTTCTTTAGTTCATTTTTGTGTCGGTAAGATTAAAAACATCATTACTTGTTTCATTTTTATTTTTGCATTAATAAAATTTGGAAAATTTTAAATTATATGTAATTTATAATTTACTTTATTTCTTGAATATGAGAAAATTTTTATTTTATTTTTCAGATCATTTACTGCAGTATTTTCCAAGTATTCAACATATAAAGAAATGAAAAGTATTGAATTTATGGTTCCGGAAAAAGAATTTGATACGATCAATAATAACTATATTGGTTTTCGATATCGTAATCCGGAAAGAATTAAATATTTTCCGGAATGGAATCCATGCTCAAAGTAGGAAGCAATTCGGAAGCACATAGGAAGCAAATTTTTAATTTAAAAAATAGGAAATATTCATATTTTGAGACAGAAATAAAAGTCTGTATTTGTGCGAACTTTTAGTATTCAATTATTTATTATGAAACCGTGCGTCATTAGAGATTATCATCCATTTAATTTCTGGTACTCCATTTCAAATTAGTTCAAACCTATGTCATTATGTCAAATTTTGGATAATTTTTTTGTAGAATTTCAGGAGGACAACGAGTAATAATTTCACTTCATGCTCAAATACAAACATAAAATGCTCATTAGAGCAAAATTTATGTCATCACTGTTGCAAAGGAAGCTACGTCAATGGAACTTACCTGTTACCACCTGGAATGTTTCCACTCGTCTGTTTTCCAGGTATGCTATTCCTATATTTTAAAATAATAAAAGTCAACTTTGCAACCTTTGCGATCAAATTGTTTCAATAATTTTCACTTTGTATTTTTAGTTTTTTTGTTATTCATTTTAACATATTTTTCAATTTTTTCAAACTGTCCATCGATTCATTTTGACATTTATCCTTTCCTGCACGAAAATTAAAGTTACAGTATCTTTCAAATTCACTCAATAAAATCTGATATCAAATCATATTGAAAATTGAAAAAAATCATTTATCATTGTCTCAAATTACTTTAAATCAAACTAAAATGAATGAACGATTTTTATTTAAGGTAAAAATGAGACGTTGCCGATATCAGCTATCATATCACCGCCTTATTTTTCCTATTCTCCGAAAGAAGTTATTGATTCGGTGATTGGTTTCCAGCGATTGAATGTTAAACCATCAGTATTTAAATTTATTCGAGAACCGGTAAATAAAACTAACAAAATCTTAACTTTAGTTTTTTTGCAAATTAAAACAGTAACACTGACATTTCAAATAGTTTCCAATAGTTGTAAAATGTCAATACTTTTTTTAATCTCTTACTCTTCTTTTACTGCTTTTTGAACTAATTTACTGTTTTGCCCAGTGTTTAAAGTTGCTCAAAAACCAGTAAATAAAATTGACAAAATCTCGATTTTGATTTTTTTTGCAAATTAAAACAATAACATTAACATTTCAAACAGTTTCTCTATTCTTAAAAAAGATTAAATCAATTTACATAAGTATAAAATAAATGAAATTTAATATTTTTAACCCATTTCATTTTTAGTTAACAGGATTATTGATGGAAATTGATATCCAACTGATGATATCATTTCCAATGTTTCAAACTAATGAGGCAACGTAAGCTTCTTTTTTCTTTGATTTCAAAATAATGTCCAACAAAAAAAATTAGCAATAAAATATCAACCCATCAATTATAATTTAAATAATTGAGTTTGAAAATTTTCCGAAATTTCGGTAAGGAAACAAATAACAGAAATGCATCTTGAACTACTAAAATTTTGAATTTTCATAAAAATCTCAATTATTAGTGTTTCCTTTCAGGATTTCAACTCGATTGCCAAATTTGATGACACCAATGATGTTAATTCGAGTGCACGGTGAACTCTCTGATGATTTCTTCAGCATGCTTTTTATTCATATAGTGCTAATCCCGAAATATATCGGATGGACGCAAATTATTTTCATCATTATAGGGGCATGTATGTTAATGCCATACTGTATTTTTAGCTTCATGGGATATTTCAGAAATGTTATACGAATTAAAACAAAATATTAATTGAAAACTTTTACTCTGCCCTTTTTTCTCCATTAAGTTCAAATTTTTAGCAATTAGCTTTATTTTTTTTTTGCAGTTAAATCTATTAAAAATTGTAGAAATGACTGTCCTCCAAGAAGAGCTAAATTTATTTCATGTGCTAGAAAATTGATTAAATTTGAGTAAAATTTGAACGAAATAATAAATGTGTTGTATTTATTAAGTGATTTCACTGTATTTTATTTTATACGTGCACAACGTAGCTCAATTAATATGTTTGATTCAACACAGCTTAATTAATATGCTCAATTTAATATGTCTAATTAACTTATTTAACGTACAATTGATGCTACGACAATTTTTTGAAAAAGGAAAAAGTAAACCAAGAAGAATGCCATATCTTTATCCCTTATATTCAAATACTGAAAATTCTATTCGGCATAAAAAATATCGTCGCAATTAGGATAATATATTTGAATGATGCAAATTTTGACGTGAAGCAAATATGCTGTACAAAAAGTTTGTTATAGAATTAATTCAAGAGCTTCTGTATTTTCACGGTATTCACGTCACAAATTCGTCGTATTACGTTACGTAAGCTACATGCATGCATTTATAGCAATCAGTATTTGCATTATTAGTGTTGTTGATGAAGTCAAAGCTTTTGAACAATGCAGAATACAAATGATGTATTCGGCGTAAACATAAAGAATTGTAAAGTACGTTACCACAAGGCGTCAAATAGAAGTCATTTTTTTCTGTAAAAGATTTCAGTACGAATAATTATAGAATAGGGAATAACGTTTTCATTTTTTTAAAGTTAAAAATGATACCTTAATTGATCCAAAGAAAAAGAATGTAAAATTTGATCAAACTTAAATAACTTCAAATATTTAAATGTCTGACTAAAATACAGTTTAATCTCTGATAAATTGCTTAAAATTACCCTAAATTAAGCTTAACATTACAAATAATTCCTGACCCATCAGTGAAATTTAGTACAACATGCATGCTATTATTATGAGTGCTTGCGGAAATTATCATCTACAGGAATGCAAATTCCAAAACCACCATTTGGTGTCCAACCGTTCTGATTACATATCAGTGTTGCTTCACCCTGTACCCGATAACCTTTATTACAGCTTAACAGGGCTGTTGTACCCATTTGATAATCTCTTATATAATTGTTGTAAATGTAGTAAACCTGAAAAAGATCAATATCTTTTTCTCATATCAATTATTTCAATGCTTATCCGACGAAAAAAAAATCAATTTCAAAGATTTTTCTTTTTATTTTCGTTTTTAAAATGCCAAAAAAGAAATGTTTTATGATTAATAACAGTTATAGGAGAAAAGTTAAATATCATAGAATTTTATGTAGCATTGAAGTGAATAGCAAATGAACGGAAGTTTGAAGTTTGAAATTATGATTAAAATAATTTTAATGTTAATAAATGAATGAAAAAGATGTTATTAAAATTGTTTGTAAAATGTATACCTTTCCATTTGATGGAGCATTGAATGGTTCACAAGAATCACCAGTTTTGGTACCAACTGCATGTTGACAACTTCCAAGCGATGGTGACCAAAAACCATCCTGACAGTATGTCATCTGCTCACCATTAATTTTATAGCCAGCATTACATTGCAATTTTGCGCTAGCACCATTGTTATGCCATTTCGTGCTATTATTACCTTCATATATTATCTAAAATATCATCAAAAAGTTAAAAGCGGATTTTCTGAAAATTAACCTAGTTAAAAGCGTTTTAAATGCTGTTTTAAATCAATGGTTTTTCTTTTAATATTTAAATTTAATAAAATTAACCATTCCATTTGCAGGTGTAATGGGTACTTCAGAACATGCATTTGCTGGTTTAATCCTATTTAAAGGAGAATGTTGCTGTTGTTGTTGTCGTTGTTCTGGTGCAGCGGGTTGACAGCTACCTACACCAGGCCAAGGTGACCAAATGCCACCTTGACAATAGGATATCGATCGTCCCAATATTTGATATCCATCATCACAAACCAAATTTGCTACTGTGTCGGTTGCGTATACATTATTTTTACTCACATTACTATAGTACACCTGAAGTTATTTTAAATTAAAATTTCTATAAAATTTCAGATATAAATAAATTTTGAAACAGTTGAATGTTATAAACAAATGTTATAAAACTAATTAAAAGTGCATGAAATTTTATCACGAACACTAATTATAAATTAAAAAGCATTATTTTTGTTGTATTGTGTATTATACATTTTTTTTTTGCGTTAACTTGAATGTTATTGCTTTTTATATTATATTATTTGCTTTGATTTTACGCATAGCTCATAAA